AAAAGTATGTAGATTAGATTAGGTACTCGAATGTATGTTAACAGCTATTGCATATGCAGGTAAGTGTCAGTACATTTTACTGTAAAAAGTGAAATACCAGTATAATGGGTATCAAAATCTAAAGTTGAAAGAAATTTTTTAATACCACTGAAATGGCAAAAAAGGATACGGCCCACCTGATGATAAGTGGTTACCGTAGCCCATGAACACCTGCAATACCAGAAGTATTAAGCATGCGTTGCCGACCCTAAAGAAACCTCTTTACCCCCCTTTTGAAGAACCCCCTGAGTGTTCGTATAATGTTTTATTTTGTGTGTAATGTGTATTAACTGTAATCTTCAAATCGTAACCCTAAAATAACGGAATAATGACGTTTTTACATCTACTCAACAATAACCAATGAAATAAATATGTGTATATCCAGTACTTAACATAAATATTTTCTTTCACAAAAGAAAACGAAACAAAACCAACATAAATATTTGATTATAAAATAATCATAAAAATTAACATAAAAGATACAATTAAATTGTGAACTATTTTTTGAAGTTGGTTCCAAAACTTACCTCAACTCGAATAGTTAGATTGTATTCCTTAATGCTTTCATAGTCCAATGGGTGATTTACTTTTATATCTGCCCAAGTAAATCCATTATCGGCTCTTTGTTGCAAATAGAATGTATGGAATTTATTAGTCTGAGCCGTCGATCCGGGCATCAAGCGGTAAAACACGGTCGGATTGTTTTCAATGCCCGAGCTGAAAATACAATAAAACACTATAACAACTTTCACAGCTTATATACAATAATACAGTTACTGGAACATCTACTGTCACGTAACGACATCGATATCTGATTAGGTACTACATTATACTAAATAAAACAAAAGAATGTAATGATTCCGATTTTGTAATGTTTTAAGCAGGTACAAGTATAGTCAGCATCATATTATAAGAGGTACCCAATAAATAAAATTAACGGAAATATGTCTGAGGCATAGATTAAGGACGAATAATTAATGATGCGGACTAGACATATTTATTGTCACGATAACAATAAATACTAAAGTAAAAGAAAATATACTAATACGCATTTGAATTTTCGAATAAAATTAATACCACAATCAATCATACTGAAAAATAAATTATAAAGTAACTTAAAGACGGTAGATTTGCTTGTAAAACAAAGTAAGCTACCTACAATAAATATTATATTTTAGATTGCTATCTATCCATCATCATGACAGGTCCCTTACGAAGTAAACAGAGATATGACTGAAAGTAACTACTCATTTTTAAAAACAAAATAATTTATTTTTTTAAATAAATTCCAAATGTTCTGTCTAAAGAAGACTATTAGTACCTAGGTACTAAATAAAAAATGATCCATTAAAAATAAAACATAATTAATGATGATTGATGGCTATCTCAACCTATGAATGCTTGCAATACCAGAGGCAACATCATATGATAATATTGAGTCACAGTACTCGAAAATTATGGTACTATTTCATACTTCAAACTGCAATACTGCTACATGCAGTATATACAAGTGTAACAGTAACTACTCATTTTTAAAAACAAAATAATTTCTTTTTTTAAATAAATTCCAAATGTTCTGTCTAAAGAAGACTATTAGTACCTAGGTACTAAATAAAAAATGATCCATTAAAAATAAAACATAATTAATGATGATTGATGGCTATCTCAACCTATGAATGCTTGCAATACCAGAGACAACATCATATGATAATATTGAGTCACAGTACTCAAAAATTATGGTATTATTTCATACTTCAAACTGCAATACTGCTACATGCAGTATATACAAGTGTAACAGGTTACTCGTTGGTAGAGTTATGAGTTGAGACAAACACGCAGACTTTATATGGAATCTCTCTCTCTCTCTGGTCAAGGTAGCTAAACCGCGCTAAGCTTAGGCCTAATTGTGACTAATTCTTATGTAGGTATAATGTGTAGAAATAACTAGATAATTAAAATAAAATGTTAAAGTTAGTAAGGTGTATTAGTAATTATAATTTCCTTTGCTTTGCTCGTGTAAGTTTAAAAAGTGTATTTTAGGATGGACAGAGAAGATAATAGAGGTGAATCTGTCATTGTCATCGGCCAGCACTCTTTGTGATAATTATGAATGATGCATTATTATAAAAATAAAATTAAAAATGCAATAACATTTATCTCTAACAATAGTTAATTACAACACCATGATATATACTTATTAGAAACGGTTCTAATTGAAAAATAATCCTATCCTACTTAAAATTCCAAAATAATTTTTCTCGAACAAGTTAAACGTCTTAAAATGTTTTTCTTATTTGATTAACAGATACTGTTACATTGACATCAAAATCTACAAGAATTGTAAAAACAAATTTAAAATGAACTCAATAATTATTTGGAATTGTAGCAATTATTTCCCATAACGGATGATGTTAAAAATACATGATAAGAAGTACAACATTATTATTTTCAGATAGTTGTACAATTGTAAACTAATACTACTAATTAAGTATAATAATTTGATAAAACAATCCTAGTTCAAATTGTAAGAACTTCAAGCACAGATGATTAACAAATGAATGGAAAAATAAAATAGGTAATTTTAAATACATATTACAAACGAAACTTTCTACTGACTAGACATTAAATAAATTTATTGACATGCTTTTCGATTCTTAGACATATCTAAGTCTTGATTGGTGTAATTTAAAATGCACCGATGCACCGACCTACATGCATACAAGGAATTATAATAAAAATACCTTACCATACCTTTTACGTAGGATGTTCAAAAACATGAGTATATCTTAACGATCCGAGCAACGCATTCAATTTATTACTAACTTTAATAAAATATTTCAAGTTTTTTGCCAATATACAATTTTATTTATTAAATACAAGGAACAAAATATACAATACCGTCTAGGCCGGAAATAAAGCAAATGACGACCAAGTAATCATATTACAAAGATGAGGACAAGTCAAATAACTTGGAAATTATTTCCTTTATAACTAAATCGTTAATTGCTACTTAGTCCGGGACTTGAACAGTACTTTTCTCCAATTTGCGAGGAAATTAGATTAATTAAAGAAATATAAAGATATAACTCTTATTAAAAAATGTTAAATGTAATTATTTTGGTGACAAATTGCATTGCAATTGCACCTTTTTTGGTAGGTAAACACTGTGTGTGTCCACATACATTTTTTTTCAAACCAATCCGCACACTAATTTCATTCTTTTTCAAATTAGTTTTATTTTCTTTAAAAAAGGTAATGTACGTTCAATCTATTAAAATATGAATATTATGTGCACAAAAACAAATAATTTATGTGTATATTCTCGTATTTAAAAAAAAACTCATGAACACCTCAAGTCAATTTAGTATCATTGACTCTAAGAATTAAAACAGACATAAAACAGTTCAGTAAATTTCATTATTCTCTTATTAATAATTGTTAACGTGTTATTTCCGTGATCGTGCCTTTTTATATATATTTTTTTACAATACAGCAATTTCCGACCGAATAGAAGAAACTAATATCATAATTATCTATACTATTAATTATATAAAGCTATTGAAATATTTTACTAAAGCTTGTTTTAATTCATGTATCTGAGCCCGGTTAATTGTGATCCCCGTTCCATGTAAGCAGTGAGCCCTTGCAAATGCACGCTAGTGAATCACGATAACCATATTGTGTTCATGACGATGCATTTGTAATCCAACGAATAGAGACAGTCGCAATTATCATGTGAGAGGCAAATAGTACGATAAATTGAAGACGCGAGCGGCGCACAGACACGAGGAATTCTATTTCAATTAGGTAATGCGATAATGGATTAATGTGAACCTGCCTAGTCTACATGTAATATAGTATAGAAAGGTGCAGTTCACTTCAATCCAAAAACGAGAATAAACGGAACAGGGTGGAATGTTGTTCGTCGTTGCATAATTTATAGTCAAATAACGTATCGCGAAATATTAAATGTAGCTTTTGCATCGAAGAACACAGACATCCGAGATCGAGATATGATGGGATTAGGGGCCGAGATGGAAAGGGATCAGTGGCCGCGCGCCGCGGCGTCGCACACTGCGTGCAGGTGACGGGGCTGCGTGCGGTGCCCGTGCCGAACAGTTACACACGCACCTTGCTTTCACGGACACCACTTTGGCACCCACGGGCAAATTTTCTCGAATGTAGACCGGGCCGTACACGGTGTGGTCCCACACGGGGGGATTGTTAGCGCGATCCACTACATCTATCTGGACCTCGACGGATCTGGACAAGGGCGGGAAGCCCTTGTCTTGAGCCATAGCCTCCAACTTGTATGTTTCTCGCTATCGGGGAAAGAGTCGATGGAAACAGACAAAACCACGTCGTTAGTAGTGTTAAGGAGTAGAGGTGCGGCGGGCCCGAGAGCCCGCTGCGCCTTATACCAACCTTGCTTTCACACTGGTCACTACGGTACCCACTGTGACATTCTCTTTGATGTGAACGGGGCCATACGTGGACATGTCCCAGATGGGGGGCTTATTGTTCCTGTCTACCACGTCTAATTCAACGTCCACGTCTGCGGAGGAGGGCGGGTGGCCCCGGTCGGAGGCGCGAACCCGCAGGCGATACCTGTCCCGCTACACATACACGGGTCAGAGGTCAGCGGTCAGCGGGGAGAAACAAAACATAACACAACTAAAATATAAACACATAAGTACTCATTGCTAATAAACAAGTAAAATAATTTAAAAGTAAACTCAAATATCGATCCTCTTTCAGATTGTATCTATCGGCTGTCTAAAAGAAATTTTGCAGTTTAAAACCTACATAGTAAATAATTAACAATCTCACGTACGTCACGCATCCTTTCAGTAAGCCAAATAAAAACAAGAGAAAAGTTAAACAGAACTTTGTTTGTATTATATTATAGTAACCAGTCACAACTTATGCTTTCTCATACAAGCACCATTCGTTCTTACTTACGGCATTTCCTTAATGTAGCCAATATTAGATGGTGCAAGAAAATAAATTGGAAATAAAATATTTCTGATATTTTACAAATTTCGATCTGTACAATAAGGAAAAGACAAACTGTACATTATAAATACTTTTTACAATAATGTAACTAAACTAATTTTAAAAATCAAAAAACTTAATAAAAGCAGGCAATGCATGCAGCTCTGCATACAAGACATGGCGGAAAGGTCGGGTTGCCATAAAAAGAGTTTAGCGACCTCAAACGACTACAACGAAACGACACTCATTGAAATGAATATATTACAAACGATGGACGTTACGATTAACTGTACAAATTTGGTTTTGAGAACGTTGCCCCTTTCACAGAAGGAATAATGTCACAACTGGCCAGATGGCCAAACTGCCTAGCAGGCAATCTGACCATCTTCATTAATGCTAATAAAATACAATTATATCAATAGACTGGTGCCCTGTAAAAAATTTACAATTATAATGATAATACTATAGCGGATGACATTATTGTATGAGTAGTCGTCTACAAGAGCGATCACACATTTGACAAGGCAGGAATCGAACTGCCCCAGTGGGAAAATCCATATCGCTCCGCAAAATAAAATCAGAGATTAGTAACAAAACATGTACATACATATAATACTGATAGGTATGTTCAAAGCGTAAGCTTCTTAAATCAATTAATCTTACTTACAATAAAATAAACTTCGAAAAACTAGTTAGTGCGAAATATTATACATAAGTGCTCTTACAGAAACTGTACATGTTTTAGAACTAAACATAGGTTTCAACGGTGAAATATTTACAGCAGTATTAACTCTGTTATTAGTATTATACACAAGTCGTATTTATCGGTAGAATAGTCAATGCAAGATGGTGCTGCGGAAATAAATCTTAACGAAGATTTAGTGCGGAGCCGGCGTTGGCGGCAAATCAAACTAATAGTGCTGCAAGAAGAACAAGCCCCCGACGGCGGCGGCGCGGACGGCTCGAGCGGCCCGCGCTGGTTTGCGCTGCCGTTCAATGGACAACTACTCCTCACAGCCAGGATTTACCCCTCTTCACAGCAATTTACAGCAGCAGATAAATTTAGAACTATTTACATGTAAGTAAACTTAAAGTGTGTGCCAATTGAATCCTAGGGCTTGTAGGTAGCACTCATCCACCAAACTTTATAGTAAAGTTGATCCCATTCACTCATCACTCTTATCATAAGCACACAGGATGTTATTGGATGTGAACCTATAAACTTAAAAGCATACTTACGTCCAGAGGTTTCTTCAGAACTATCCAGCCAGATTCAGGCTGAATTTCAAAATATTCTATATCAGCTGGATTATATGGTGCGCTTAGAGTATAAACTATAGCACCGTTATTATCCGCATCTTCATCAGATGCGGAAACTCTTAATATATTTGTGCCTATACTAGCATCTTGTTTAACATTCTCCACGTATTTCTGTAATACATATTATAACAATAAACAACAATCGCGACTCCTGATATACATGCAAATTAATCTAAAGTGTATCGCCATGCAAATATGTATATGTGCATATAAAACTACTATATACAGTTCTTATTGCTTACTTGTCTGTCGAATAGTGGAGGATTATCATTCACGTCTGTTATTTCTACAGTAAATGAACAAACGCCTTCTAATGAAGGTTCGCCCTGGTCTGTCGCTTTTACTGTTACCGACACAAACTTGCCATCGTCGCCTTCCCTGTCGAATACTTTATTTGTTGATACTTCTCCGGTTTCTTCATCCACAGTAAATTTCGTACCTTTTTGATTTGGTTGTTGAACAATAGAATACTTTACTTGACCATTCACCCCTTTATCTTCGTCAGTAGCATGCACTTTAATAACGGGGCTACCGTTTGGCGCCCCTTCTTCGACTTTTGAAAATAACTGGGACAATCCTTGAATATAGGCTTGTTATCATTAACGTCTGTTATAAAAACTACCACGACAGCGGTTGATGTATGTATCGTAGCATCTCCGTTGACACAACAAGCACCGTCGTCCATCGCTGTGACGTTAAGTTCGTATTTGTCTCTGTCTAATGATATAGCTTTATTATGCAGTCGAATCACACCAGTAATTTCTTCTATAACAAACTGTCCTGAACTAGTACCACCACCAACGAACCCAAATCGAACATTATCGCCATCTTTATCCGATGCTACTACAGTAGTGACTAACGTATTTGGTCCTGCATTTTCGTCAACATTAGGAGTGTATACTTGTTGCGAAAACTTGGGCTCTTCGTCATTTTTGTTCTTTGTGTAAACCCTAACTGTAGCTGTTCCGGTCTTAGCAGGCTCTCCTTTATCTTTTGCAGTTACAACAAACTCATAGTAAGCGTTGTTATTATCGGCATCTAATTGTTTGTTATTTGTTATAATTCCATTAGAATCGACGCTGAAGTGATCATCTGGAACACACAGTTTTTATGAAGTGTACAATACAAAACAAATACGTTTTTCTTAATAATTACCTACTTATTTTACAACCTTTTGATTACTTATTAATATCTGTTATGATTAAAAACATAGAAATTTTAATAAAATATAATAATAAAATGGAATATATTATATGTTTTCTCATGGCTTTTAATGTTTAATGACAACAACACAGTTCCTAATAAAATAATCCAATGGAATACCACCATTAATGATGACTTCTTATTTGTATCTATAATAAGTTTACTATTTCGATCTTTTGGGGGAAATAACAAAGAGTATCTATGTATCTATCTTATTATTGTATATCGATGCACCTATCTGGGTTATCTATCAGATTTGACTTAAGAAAGTACTCAAGCTAATTTTCAATATTATTACAAGAAATAAAACGTTAAATTATGATTCGGATAAATAAAATTAAATAATTATAGACAATCACGGTTGAATTAACAATATATAATTTATCCTTAATAATAAACTGCGTGTTTAGTTTTAACGGTGATTATATTTTCACAAATGAGAAACTGATTTGAATGAAAATAGCTGTCAGAATGTTTAGATATGGAGAATTACTTAGTGTTTTTAAATACATTCTACGGGGGGGAAGAGATTGTTAGTAATGAGGAGGTTAGTTCAATCTATCAATATACCCTATCACGTCGACCTCCACGATTCCTCCTGGAAACCATCGTGACTAATTCGTCATAGTCGTAGAATACTGACGGAATATATATATTTAATATATGTCAGATCCGTCAGTATTCTACGACTATGACGAATTTATAGTTGAATTCGTCACGATGGGATAACTGATCTGTCTTTTCATCCTCATCATTCATCCCTCCCCGTGCCATGATGCCCCACCAGTGTATACCGATATCGCAGGCGGAGTTACCATTCCATTATTATCCATTAAAAAAAATACATTCTACATAGACAATATTTGAAAGAAAACTGGACTTGTAACAACTCACAACTACCGACACCTGTCGTATATATGAGGAAGTTTTGTTAAACAAAATGAAGTCTAGATGGCGTTAGTAGTCATAAATTTAAATGATCTGTACAAATTATATAAGCACCTGAAACAAGATATTCTATTTCGGCGTTCTTTCCTGAATCGGCGTCCATGGCTTTAACTTTGAGGATACTGGTGCCCAGAGGAATGTCTTCGTCGACGTTATGAGCCTGGTAATCAGGCAACTCGAATTTGGGTGCATTGTCATTGACGTCCGTAACGCGAATCGTTAACTGAAACACGACAAAAAGATTATTATTGTAGTATTAAACTCAACACCTACGGTGAGATATCTAAAGATACAGTTAGTAATATGTATAACTCTTATACAAAAATCGAGATAAACATTAGGTATGTATCATCAAAAAACTAAATTCAAAAGGATAAGAATACCCCTACAATTAGATGATTGGCAACAATCTCAATTTGTCTTGCACAATTATATAAAGTAAAACCTTTGTCTACAGCATTTGCAGGAGAATTAGCTATTATTTTTGTATCAAATATCAGTGCTAATTGTCACTTGCCACATTTCTGTATAATAAATAAAAACCTAATCATATTTATTTTAATTATTTTAAATCTAAACTATATAACATTTTACTATAATAAAAGCATCATTTTTATTTAAAACCAAAACACAGTCTAAAGAACTTAGCTCCTTATACTATAATAATGTCCTCTAATACTATTGTTGTAGACGTCTATTGTTTAGTCTCTTATTCAAATGTTATATGTGTAAAATATTATAATTTACATTTGTATCCATGTTTTATTCAGCTTGGTATACAATTTACACATTGTAACATACTGTTACAATAGTTAATATTCGTCGTAAGCTTTGTAAATAAATATATTTTGTAGTGTAAATAGATTATAGTACAAATTATTAAATTGTATTACAAATACTCCTTACACTGAAATAATATTTACTGAATTCTAATTCAAAGGGTTAAAGAGACATACCTACTAATATATGTAAATAGTATTTATTTTCTATCATAGATAAACAATTACCTAATAGATTCAGATATTTAAATTACCCAATATTGAACAAGTGTATTTATATAGCTCCGCTAAAAATCTACTCCAATCATAAACACCCACATACCGATGAACTAACAGATATACGAACGAAATAAACATAGATATTGTGTCAATTTAGAACGCGGCATCACGTGTTTACAAAAAAAATTGTGCTTCGCAAGAAATGCGTTTTTCGTTCCGCAAAGAAGAAATGTTAATGAAAAATTTATTATTTATATTATATTTAGAAGATATTTTAATAGTTACGAAATTAATATTGAATTAACACAAGAGTAATTGCAAAAAGAATTATTAAAATTGATTTAGAATTAGATACTACTGTATGGGGTTCTTCAAAAAAAGGCATAAAGAGATTTCTTCAGGGTCGATAAAGGGCGTGTAATGCCCCTGGTGGTCTACCATGAAATGAAATTTCGAATTTTCGGGCTCAATTTCGTGTTTTTGTTCGTACCGAAATCGATCCAGTAAACGGAGTTTAACATTTTGTTCATCATAAATCCTATCCTAATAGTCCAGAGGAACGATTTTTTAACATTTTTAATAATTTTAAACGGTATATATTATGTATTTTTAACATGAAATCTGTTTCATTCGTCCCCGAAATTTTTAAAAATATTTCATGGTGGGCCTACCATTGGTGGTATTGGAGTCGTTCATAGGCTACGATAACCACTTACTATTAGATAGGCCGTATACGTTTGCCGCGTTAGTGGTATAAAAAAAAGCAAACGGACAGCCTTTCTAAAGGAAAGCGGTAATCGTCCTCTATAAACATGAATGGCATCATGATCATGACATAATATAGTGTGATATCCATGGTACCCTAAATGTGTTGTCATTCCTGAGGACTGTGATGTTATGCATCTGTATCCTATAATTTCACTATCATACCCTGCTCTCCAAATAGAAACAGTCATGCAAGCTACTTCACGACAGAAACACAAATGGGACAGACCCATTACAAACGACTTTTGTACAAAGTTTCCCTCTAGTAAACAACACGGGTGACATAGCCACAAAAAAATTCAGACAAATCGAGGACCTTTGTAAATTGATTAAAAATAGTTGTAAACCTTACATTATATAGATAAAGCATAGAGTGTTAAAAATGTTTCAAAATTTAATGAGCTCATTCGATAGCTGATAATTTTATTTTTATCTAAACGTTCTTTTCGCAGTCGTCTTTTTTTTAACTAAACTTTTTAAATTTTTATTGGGAACTATTTTTTCTATTACACCTCATCAGTACTTATAGCTTACCTTCTTTTACCTACTCATATATGACTCAAAATATTCAGGAAAGATATTTGTGTACATATACATTTGAAATTTTATCAAAATCGATTTGGTAATTTAGTCTTTAAATCAATATACTGATTTGGCCACAATTGAATCCGATTTTTTGAGCAACACAATCTCAAATAATTGGCGAAATATTTGTTTGAAGATACTCTATCTATAATATATAATCTAACCTGTAAACATAAGTAGTAAAATAAAAAGTAACCTCGATACCTACCTCAACAGACGTGGAGAATCCGCCGGAATCTTCGGTTGCCGTAACAACCAAAGAATACACATGAGGCTGCCTCAAGTCTTCGAAGTCCAATTCCTTCGCCAACTTGACTATGCCCGAAGTAGGACCGATATTGAATGTGCCAGCGCCTTGCCCTTGGGCCTTGAGGGTGTAACGGATTTCTCTATCCGCAAATGACTTTGCTTTTACAGATATAATACTGGAATATAAAAAATACAAGTTATTTTCTTCGTTATACGATAATATGAACTAAAATTATATCCCTGTTTTGTATTAAAAACTGTATTCCGCAACATTGACCACGTGGAATAAGTTAAAAATTACACCATTATGTTAAACATTATTATTCGTGTAGCCGTGTGGTCGCGGCGTAGAATAGGTCACCCCTTTCTTTCTCGTGGGTGTCGTAAAAGACGATTAAGAGACGGCGAGGGATGGGCAGCAACGTCCCTCTTAAAACATCTCTAAGGTCAGGTGGTTGCCAGTCCGCCTGCGAAGCGTGGCAACTACTGGCAAAACCCCCCAAGGGGAAACTGAACATAAGTTCAGCAGTGAACAGTTAAGACCTGATATGATGATGATAATACTAAATTTTATTCAAATCCGTTCAATAATTTAAACGTGATTGAGTAACAAACATACAAACACCGTTATAATTTTTAAAAATAAACGAAAAAGAATAATGAAAATAAGTTCCAAATAAAAAAAAACAGGCAAATTGACAACTTCCAACTTTGAAGGGATATTTTGAAGAATACCAGTATCAGAAATTATTAGGAAATAAGTATTTATTTATTAACGTTTTTTTAAGGTAAAATTACATTTTTCTACTCAATGTTATGATGGCTGTTGAGCAATCAGATATTAATATTTTAAACGACAAATTAAATACAATATTATTCAAACGTTTTTGTTTCACAAAATTTTGGTATCTACTTATTACTACACTTGCTTATTACACTTTTTGGGACTCGTACGTGATGTGTGCAATTTAAATTTACATATAAAAAATTAAAAGAACAAAAACCTTACTCTGAATCTTTTTTCTGGTTCTCCGCTATCTCGGCCTCGTAACTTGGCAAGTAAAACTGGGGAGCTCGCTTGCCACCAACTATACTAAGCCGCTCCTCAGGAGTAGACTGGAATCGCCTTTCATCAACACGACCGCTCTGAAAGTTTTAAAATATACATTTGACAAATCATTTTTTCTTACAAATATCTTTAAAACATATAACTCATATTTCTATAATTATTAAGTGATTAAAAAATTTCGAAGCAATTGGGATGTGAACCCGCAGCTTCTATCTACGCCATACGGAGCGTTAATAATATTTTTAGTATACGATAAATTACCAAAATATAACAAAATTGTAAATAAATGACATCTGTACATGGGAAATATTTAAGAAAAAGTAATATAAGAGTTCTTAATAAGACCAATAGAAGCCAAAACAAACAAATTACAATTTTAAAAATTTTATCTTTCTGACACGGTTTTCACAGTTACAAAATTGCTCGAAAGTCTAACATAAAATCTAACTTATGTTTTATCTTCATACACAATGTAAAAATAGACTATTTCGTTGATTTTCCTGCTTCAGAAGTCAACGCGTATGAAGTAGCGGGTAAACAGCTAGCACTCAACAATATATTAACATTTTTTAATTAACTACGCTTCTGCCGTTCAGTAAAAGCACAACCCGTAGGATCCTAAGTGCCATAATATTGAAAAAGTTATTAATTATAACTAATTTTAGAAGTATATTAAATTAATTCTAATCGTTTGCTTTGTTGATTTAGAGTACTTTGAATATGTCCTTCACATTTTATATATATTAATTAGACAATTTGATAATATAATAAGTAAAAACTAATTATAATTATCCAATGTGATAAAAGCTCGTAAATTTAAGAAAAATGTCATCAATTGCATAATATATCAATAATACATTATTTATATTAATTAATATATTAATGATACATTCGTATTAATTTCAGTCTTGTTTCAATTACAGTAATGTTAACAAATTTACAAAAATGATTTAGACAAGTGCACTATTAGTGATGACCTATTTTTCGTCATCCAGAAATAACCAGATACTCCACATTATATTTATAAGATTTTCGCGAGTTAAACTTTGACGTATTCGATTATTTAACATTCAAAGTTATTATAAGAACATCGGAATTGAGAGCACCATATAACTGAGTCATAAAGTTTGGTGACATGTGCGCATATATTGAATTACTTATCAGTTATCAGGTCAAATAAGGTTTCATTCCAAGAAGAAATATTTTTAAGGACGAAACTTACAACAGGGCATGGTGCGGGTATTTTCACAATTTATTTTAACAGAAACAAATGTAAGTCTACCTAATATAATATTCAAGTAAGAAGTCCACAAAGGGTCACTTACTAACAAATCAACATAGGTTAGATATAATTTAACCACGTCTGACAAAGTTGATATTTGAGAAATATATTTCTTTACATAATATTGTATACAAGTATAAATAAAACAAAAGATTACTAGAAATTCGAAGTAAAAACTTAATAGCACCTCGATCCAAATACCTTAAATAACAAAATAGAATAAACAAATTAAAAAAATTATTTACCTGATCTTCGGCTTTCACATACAAAACATACTCCATATCCAACTGGAAGGGATCAGTCCCTCTCGTGCGGACCACTCCAGATCGTTCGTCAACTTCGAATCTCCCTCCGGTTCTATCTCTTACGATGAAATAATGGATATTGTGATCCGTATCCGGATCCCTTGCTTGAAGAGTAAAAACTGGGGTATTGGGAGCAGCATTAAGTTGTACCACAGTCTGCATAGGTAGTGGACGGTTGATGAAGTAAGGAGGTTCATCGTTTACATCTTTAACGTGAATGATGACGCGCTGATTGTCAGTATCTGAAACGTTCAAACAATAGTATATGAGACACCAAAATATTTACAGATAAAAACGATACTAGACTGATTAATATACAATCATAACGCCTATCAAATCAACTGTAATACATTAACTATAATGTATTAAGTCAACAAGGAATGGTAATTTATGTTAGGACCTGACCCAGTAATGTCATATAGGCAACAAATGTGACTCCATTCTGTATTAATATTATATCTTAGGAATATACAGTAGATTTAAATTAATATTTACCACATTTATCGTACGAATGGATATAATTATAAGCCCATGAGCTAGGTCTCAAATATACAATAATTACTGCTTTACTAATATTCATACCTTAGGCATGGTATTAATTAGTACCAGAATAATAAGACGGAAAATGGATAAACATGTAAAGTTATATAAGTATTTAATTACAATTTTCTTAAAAAATGTAACAACGATCAAAGTGTATTTTATATTTATCTTAAACACCTGTTTGTTGCTGAATTTGCTGCAACAACTTAATGACTTCTTCGACTTACATCAGAAGTATAAGTAATAAATAATATACTGATCTTAAAATCATTAATTACCTTAAATTAGGTATTTTAATAGTAACCTATATCAAGAATCTACTTTATGGGTGTAATACTTACAAAAAAATAGAAATAATAGGTATACAGCACCACAATCTGTTAGTGACTGTATGAATACAAGAGATACAAAAAATGAAATGCACTCTAAAGAATAAAAATTGAAACTTTTTATATCATTTGTCCAATTTTGTTTTTTGTCGAATTCTTTAATGTCCCCTCCCGGCCTACCCCTTTCTTCCCCATAGGTGTCACAACAGACAACTAAAGGAGCTTAATTGTCGAGAAAAGGGCAGCAGCGTCTCTCTTTAAATATTACCAAAGCCTAACTGCAATTGCCAATCCGCCTGCCAAGCGTGGTAACTACTGGCATACAAGGGGGGTATGGGGGGTATAGGGGAGGACTATGTTCAGTTAATAGCTGACATGATGAAGATGATGATTTGTATATTAACAAAATTTAATCAAATCAGAAGCGGTTGTTAGTAATAGAACTAGCTGCCCCTTTGCTAATAATGCACCCTGTCAGGTCGACTTCTACATGATCCCCGCTAGAAACTATCGTGATTAATTCTTCAAGTATTTGTTACGATGAGTCAACTGCCCTGCTTTCATCCTCACCTAACATTCCACATTAGTGTCCTGCCAGCGTATACCGATGACGAAAATAGGATTACCACTCTATTATCATCCATAAAAAAATCCAAGAAATATAAGATTTGGATGTTTAAAATAATATTCATATATTCCTGTAAGTAATGTATTACAGGAAAGGAAATGATAATGACACCTACTCATTTCTTTATTATGTTGGAGTCATCGATCATTAATGATCGATGGTAGGAAAATACTTTAGTGTGGATGGTTTATTATTAGAAAAATATATAAGAAATGGCGTTTGATATTTCAGCTTTATTTTTTAAATAAATAATGGGCAATCCATTAAATCCTATACAGAAAGTCAGCCAGCAAATATATAATATACCTCCAAACAATGTATTCTTTGAATAACATTTTTTTTTAATTTACCACGGTCTTTGATATATCTACACAATATATCACAGATAATATACAAAATAATACCCAGAATAAAATTCTAAAATATACATATAGTATGTTATATAATTTATCTTTATTATCGTACCTATCAATATGATTTAAAATTCCAGCTATTAAGAATTTTACGACTTAAAGTATTATGCATATACTTACATTTTAAAGCCACTGTAAAATGGTAAGCGTGAAAAAGAAATAACACACACTAATTAGTTAAACCATCACCAAATTCCGAAGATATTATTTAATAAAAGCAGATTAGTACGTAAATATTAATTACATTTTGAATCTTAACAGCTTACTATAAGGTAAATATAAAAAATAACTTACTAAGTAATATAACATAATATATAATAATAATAAAATAATATAACAATAATACTAAAATTATCGTAGACATAGTTGAGAAACCACCACATTATAACAAATTAAAAAAGTCAGTATAATTTTTTTTATTTATCGAAAGCATTTTATTGTTATAATCGCTTTGGAGATTTGAATTGGAGATATAAGATCAAGTCAATAATTATTTTTAAATTTTTGTGAATACATTCAGAATTTTTAACGAAGTACCCTATCATTTATTCCTGTTGTCAGTAAATTATAATGTCGTACGAAAATAATTCGTAATTTTGGAGGTATTTTTTTTTTATTCTTTTACTAATTATGCGAATAATACAGTAACAAAACTGTCTAGAGTTAAAACTAAATATTCCCGCGTGTAAACCTCACGCAAGCATCTCACTTTATGATTAAGAAAATAGCTACATATATTGAGATTCGGGTTAAAAAAATGTACTGGACTTACATATATGAGATAATGGTTCCATAGGGAACATGTGACAGGTGCTCTGAAGGTTTACCATTAATCATAAGTCGCAAAAGGTAAGTCTCTCTGATATGATAGGTGGTGACGTTTCCAGTTGTAAATATTTACAAATTCAAATTTTTATACGTTTAAACATGTTTATTTATATCTAAATTAAGAGTATATTTTAGATACTTTTGTATCATTAAGGGATTAATTAGTTATATTGGTGTTAACCATAAAAATCAAATATTTTCACGCCACACGGTTGAATATAGAGATACCGTTGTTACCATTAAATACTTGTAATGTTATTCAGACAAATAAAATTGTCGTTTACTCATACATTTGTTCATTCATTTGGTGGTACCTAATATGTATCTCGATTTAGTATAAAAGGTTTAAAAACTAATTTCTAACCCTTATTCCTCCTAATTTAATTTCCTGGAGACATACTTAAGATAGATGCTATGCATATTATATATATATATATATATATATATATATATATATATATATATATATATATATAACCATGTACAAACACTAGGATGGTTATATTAATACAAACAAACAACACACATTATCATAGATCCTAACAAGCAAGCGCTATCCCTGTTTGTCCGGGAGGATTTTCGTAAATCTGCGATATAAATCCGCCGTTTGCTATAATCCTATTCCGCGGCTTTAGTTTTGGGTATAACTAGTTCAAAGACAAATAAATGAAGAGAAAACATTGACCCATAAATGGTTCTCTCTAAGTTTTCATCTGTACAAATGTGACATTTAATTTACTGTAATTAAATACCTGCCGGTCAAGCTTCGCTCGAGCTCGAATTTTCTCTGAAGAGACGTAATGATATCCATTTTTCTTCACTACTAGTCAAGTACATTCTGCCCCACAAGAAATTCGCACGACTTTTAATATTTGAATTTAGAACGCGGAAGCATATGTCTATAAGTGGTATAAAAAAGATAGGTAATTTAAAATTTCATTTTTGCTAAAACATTATTTTATGACGGAAAATAAAATACAATAAGGAGGACTACATTACATACATGGCACAGTGACAGTATCTCATATTTCTAGATTAATTCAAGCAAGATATTCGTCGTACAAAACAACGGAGGGGAATGGCCTACTGAACACTAGCAGCTTTGTTCGTATCTAGACACATTTTGGACGCGTGCCAAAAATCAAAACATACATATGAATGTAACTATTACTGCATTTAGGATTTTATATACTTATTATTTGTTTTGGACCCTCGTCGTCGCAAACCTTTGTTTTTTATTTACTCCATACTGAGTAACGTTGTAAAGAAAAATAGGTGAATTTAAAGCGGCGGATGTCTGGCCGTCAGACACAAATAGACCAATTGTGTCTGCGTCCTGAATCCTGACTGATAGTCAGAAATAGTTTACAGATTTTAGATCATGACTAACAATTAACCTTATTACTATTAAAATAATGTATTGTCAAATAATTCACCTTTTAAAACTAACTGGATTATTCTTTTAAAAGTAAAAAAATATTTATATTTTATACAAAGTACGCAAACATGTGGATGTCATAAGAGCGACTAAGAAAACATAATGACCGAAGGATAACTGCAGTCGCCAACCCTCCTGCCAAGCATGGCAACTACTAGCAAAGCCCCCCATAGGAGGAGGCCTATGTTTAGCAGTGGACAGTTAACGGCTGATATGATGATGATGATGTAATTACGCTCATTGCATGTCTATATTTTGTCCTAGACTCCGAGTTGCAAAACAATGCGGCTTGTCAAATTATTTAACAGATTACCCACTGATATGAAAATCATTGACAATTTCAATACTTTTAAAACTAAGATTAGAGATATTTTGTTGAAAGAGTGTTTTTATACTTTAGACGAATATACTAATTACGTGTTTGACAAGTAATTTAATTTCATTATTTTTATCTACTACGTATTATAAGCTATCATTTTTTTTTATTATTTTTTAATTGACCTTATTGTTTATTTCTTTAGTTTTTTTTTTTTTTTTTCAATATTGTTACTAATTTCAAATACAATTGTATGATTGTTATAGAATAAATGAGTATGAATATATAATCTTGTATATTGTATCAAAGTATTGTGTGTTAACAACTGTTACCGACTAATACTTGATTTTGCTATGTTTATGTATATTCGACATGTGACCTATCCAATATGGTAGGTGTCGACTCTTACCGTTGTTGTTAAAACCGGAGACAAATATTTATTTAGATTACTTATATAGTATACTACGCCATGTGATTCCGATATAAACTTTACAGGAAGAAGGATGAGAACTCCAAACTCATTGAACACCTAACTCCTAGCTTTTGGACTGCTGCCAACCATTGATAACAAATTTTATTAGGATCGAAATAGCGTTTCAGAAGATTTCATAATACCGACATTAACGGTGCGTATTTGAGAAAAGAATATTAATATAATTATATAATTTATGGAATATAATACAAAATATACTAAGTACCTATCAAATATAATTCAAAGCGCATATATTTAATTGTGTTTTCATCAGGATGAACGTACGGAATGGCCGAATATTGAAAATTTAATTTTGATTCCATGATTGTTGTGAAAACAGAGACATAAATGACACTCGTTGAATCCCGTAAAATATGGAGGTTTTAATATCGTTTGCGAGGTGTGAGAGGCGGTTCAACCCCCTCCCGTAAGATTGGAGCCGAATGCTCTCCCTAGCAGTGTTGCCGAAATAGCCCTGTGTGGGCTAAATGTGACACATTTTCTCCTTTTCCAGTCCTTTATAATTTAAAATAAACTTTCGTACTTTAATTTAATTTAAATAATGTGGATTAATATGCGTCGACATTATTTTCAAAAGAATTTACCAACAATGACTCAAAAGAGCTATCCTAGTTCTGCTTTATTACTACTTTGTGATATTTTGTGAATTTTCTACAAGTGAATATATCTATAAATTTATATTTTATTGAATAAGTCTAGTAAATAATAAGTAAAAATTAACTCAATCGAAATCAGTCACTATAATTATTATCATCGTCATCTATCGTGTGCTATAAAAGATACACATCATCCTCATATTTTACTTTCAAAATACGGTCCCGAGTCCCCTACTTTACCTCAAAATTATATTTAAGTCAATATCTTTACACAATTTTAAAGATAATCTTTCTACTAATACAATAAAATACTATAATCAATTTAACCTTTCAAATTATTTTAGACTAATCTAGCCCTTTTCAATTTAATTTAGCCCTAAAACCCGGATCCGAGTTGGTAACACCGCTCCCCAACCCACATTCGGTCGGCATTACACTGCGCAATACTGCGCATGTCTACACTACCACTGCCGCGTGCTTTCCTCGTGGCCAACCTACTCGACATGACATGCCGCCTGCCGACATGAGTAGCATTCTCGTATACAGGTGCTGCCTATTTGATGCCTGCTGTTGCTAATACTGGTTATTGTACCATATATTTTATTTACTTTTTAAGGGGTTTCCAAAAGATGTATACTTTTTTCGCCTACACATTTTGTGGCTATATGACCCGGTTACGTAACCAATTATGAACCAATTTTGATAATTTTTAAAATTCATCAAGTTCAATTTTTATATTACTCCAATATTAACTATAGTAACGATAGAAGCTGCAATTTCCATTATGATGGGTTTAGACATTAAATAACAAAGCACCCCCATACAAACCAATAAACAAACAAACTTTAACATTTATAATATTAGTAGGGATTTTAGTCGAATTTAACAAGTCGTATATTTGTAATCATGTAATTACCATTGGCCAACATGTCATGGGCTTTAGATAGCGAATCGTCGGCTTAGCGGCCAGGTAGTATTCGGGTTGAAACCAACATTTATACGGATACAATTTTCAGATCTAATTTAATGCTACATAAATGTAAATTTGTCTGTGCATTATTAGGAAAATTTTAACACGTAAATATTATAAAATTTACAATTTTTATTTTTTAATTTACAATTACATATTACTAAAATTATGTCACAAGCGGTATCATGCCCATAAGTCTAAGGCAAAACTGCCTCTCTTTGTGTGTTCTACCGCATGTATAATAATAAATAAATAGTGAGTCAATCGTCACAAAGTTAATACATGATTAAAACGGGAGTAAACCGCATCTAATACACAAATAATTGTCGAAATCAACTCAAAATTGCCGACGCAAATACCATAAACTCAAAAATCAGATGAATAGAAACCAAAAATGACAACCTGCTCCAGACAATAAGCAAAATTCCATATTATGTTAATAAAAGACCTCCTTGTTTTAAAAATCGCTTAAAAATCTGTTCATACAAAAACTACAGACGGAAGATACGTTTATTAGATAATTTAGAAGGCAAACAAACACTGTTCTTAAATCATTTTACATGCATACATATGAAACCTGCCAGCGGTAGTGTGAATCAAGACAAATATCTTAAAAACATCAATAAATATTCTTTTTATTTTAACATGTCGAGGGTTTCGTACATAGATAAGATATAAAAAGATTTGAAGTGTATTTCTTATACGAAAGAGACACCGAATATTCATTATTACTCGTAATGATGTTGCAGTTCGTAATTTCTTATTTTGGATAACAACTATGATTAAAAACTGGACCTCATAGCTGAGTTTGATATCAGAAGTTATTTAATAATTTTTCAAGAACTGCTCTTCTAGTTAGAAACATTACTCCCCCCCCCCCCCCCCCTGCAATATTCACATACATTTCGCTTCACAAACTTGTGAGATAAGGAAAAAGGAGATTTTTTCTCACATTTTCGATCGGAAGTCAAAACTACGTCATATAGAAATAAGTAATTATCTGTTTTGAATTGTACAAATGAAGCTCTTTCATATGATACCCCACTTAGACAAGTACGCTTAGGTAGCCTTTTGAACCACCTAGCAAAGAATGTAAATGTGTTTTTTTTAAATAATTTCTATTGCAATATGTTACACTACTACAATATGTTAAACTGTTCCAAATTTCAAATTGATAACATTAGTAATT